CACCCACTCCCCTAGTACACACCTACAACTACGCCCTCCCCACCCCCACACTCCTGCACCACCTACCTCCCCACTACACACATCCCTACCACCACCCACTCCCCTAGTACACACCTACAACTACGCCCTCCCCACCCCCACACTCCTGCACCACCTACCTCCCCACTACACACATCCCAACCACCACCCACTCCCCCAGTACCCACCTACAGCTACGCCCTCCCCACCCCCACACTCCTGCACCACCTACCTCCCCACTACCCACATCCCAACCACGACCCACTCCCCCAGTACCCACCTACAACTACGCTCTCCCCACCCCCACACTCCTGCACCACCTACCTCCCTACTACACACATCCAAACCACGACCCACTCCCCCAGTACCCACCTACAGCTACACCCTCCCCACTCCCACACTCCTGCACCACCTACCTCCCCACTACCCACATCCCAACCACGATAGGTGGGTACTGGGGGAGTGGGCAACTACGCACTCCCCACCCCCACACTCCTGCACCACCTACCTCCCCACTACCCACATCCCAACCACCCACAACTACGCACTCCCCACCCCCACACTCCTGCATCACCTACATCCCCACTACACACATCCCTACCACCCACTTCCCCAGTTCTCACTTCCCACAATCATCGACTCTCCCACACCTCACACTACATCACTATCCACTTCCCAACCACCCACTCCCACAGTATCCACTTAACAACCACTCAATCCCTTCCTATCACACTCTACTGTCTCACACTACACCACTGCCCACTTCCCAACCACCCACTCCCACCGTGCCCACATCCCAACCACCTGTTCTGCATCACACACAGTGCCACCAGTGCTGGTACGTCTCTGCGTGTTTACTCATTGTCCCTCGTGGCGCGGCATGACCTTCCTTATCTCCGGCAGGCACTGAAGGAGATTCAGCGAGAGAGGGCGGTGTTCGAGGAGGAGAGAGAGACAGCGCTGGCCGAGATCGAGGCGATGCGGGAGACGGAGACGAGGCGACTGAGGAGAGAGAGGAAGCTGTTCGATGAACACCAGAGGGCCGTCAGGGCGGTGCCGGATAAACGCGAGAGAGAGGAAATACAAGAGTTGAGGAACCAGGTACGGGAGTGCATGAGCGACAGTGTGCGGCATAGAGAGGGACACATTGTGTTCATATGAGAGGGACACCGTGTGTTCGTATGAGAGGTAGAGAGGGACACCGTGTGTTTGTATGAGAGGTAGAGAGGGACACTGTGTGTTCATATGAGAGGGACACCGTGTGTTCGTGTGAGAGGTAGAGAGGGACACCATGTGTTCGTACGAGAGGTAGAGAGGGACACCATGTGTTCGTATGAGAGGTAGAGAGGGACACCGTGTGTTTGTATGAGAGGTAGAGAGGGACACCGTGTGTTCGTGTGAGAGGTAGAGAGGGACACCATGTGTTCGTATGAGAGGTAGAGAGGGACATCGTGTGTTCGTACGAGAGGTAGAGAGGGACACATTGTAAACGTTTTATATAATGGGTGCATGCCGAATGGGTAGCGCTTTGAAAGCACAGCGAATTCTGTTCGTTGTTTCAGTGATTGTAGCGATTTCTGATGGGCAGCTCTTTAACACAGGACCCACCCACGCACTCACTTATGATAAATGTGACGATGTTATACCATGTCGAGTGCTACCATGTCTTTTCGCCCCAACCTTCCTCCGTTTTATCGATAAGTCCAGCACCAAGTGATCAAGCACAACTACGCGAAAATTAAAACCGGTTTGCAAAGTCGGGGGAACGTTTATGGCGTGCGCAAAGATCCGCATGGCGTCGTAGTCGCGTGACGTGCTGCGCGTTTGTTTCAGCTCGGCGAGCTGCGAGTGGAGATGCAGCGGAGGGAGGGACGGTGGAGCAGCGGACTCACGCGCGCCCGCGAGCGCACAGCCTCGCTCGAACGCGAGAACGCACAACTGAGCGCGAGCGTGGCTGCGCTGGAACGCGCCCGCCTCGACGCCCGGCCGCGCCCACGCCCCGCCCGGCCTCCCCGCGCCGTGCCCGCCGCCGTGCCGCCGCCCCCGCTGCCCGCGTTCTCCGACGTTGTCGTGCTGACTGATGCCGAGGGTGGGGTCGCTGCAAGGTCGCCGCCCGCGAGTCCCAGCAGGGGGCGCCGGCGCAGACGTGCGTCTCTGCCGCGCGAGCGAGACTCGGGGTCGCGGTCGTCGGGGAGCGAGGACGGGGAAGCCGGCGGAGAGGAAGATGCCGGGGAGGGACCGGAGGAGGAGGAGGAGGAGGAGGAGCCACGGGGCAGACTCGCGGATGAGGTCTGCGGCGGCGTCGTCAACGGCAACGAGTTTGACGTCGACGGCTGCCTGTTGAGCGGCGACCCGGGCAGGGGTCGCGCAACGACCTCTGACCCCGGCAAGTCGCTCATCGACAACCCGGACTACAACCACGAGCTGGTCAGGCACCCGGATGGGAAGGTGAGGTGCAGATTTCTCTAGAGGGCGTGGACCCCCGCTGTGTTGAGGGTTAACGATGTGTTTAAAAAAAACAAATTCGATTAATTCTATTTCAATTTAAGTTAAATTTGTTTTTTGAGTGAGATGGTGAAGTGAGAGTCACACTGTCTTTTTAGTTTTTCACGAAAACTCCCCTCAACCGTTATTCGTGTCTGTAACATTGTTACTCGTGTCGTTACTATTACTGGTATGCTGGCAGCTTATTCGTTTTATTCGTGGGATTGCTACGAGGCAGTCTAACAGATAACGCTGGGTCTGTGTGACCAGGCGTGGCATACACTGCTATGCTGTGTGCTCTCTAGTAGAGAGATGTATGATCAAGAGACCGTATATCAGGGTGGGAAATTAACGGGAGTCCGGAGTCAGATACTCCCAGATTTACTGTCGGACTCCCTGATTTGACATATGCAGGAGTCCGTGTGACTCCCTGAAATTCTGCCATACTATATTAACTAGTTCGTTCCAGAGCACGGCCTCGCAGAATTACCGTATTTTTCCAGCAAATGTCTAAAGAAAATTTGGCAGACGTGCAACTGCATGAATCTTCAAAATAAGCACATGTATGCATTATTGTTATTATCTATAATTTTGAACTTTAGACTGCGGACTCCATTTTGCTGCGGACTCCCTCTTTTTGAGGGTAGGGAGTCCGTTGGACTCCCGTGTTCAAAAGTTAATTTTTACCCCTGGCATATGATAGAAGAGACTCATATATAATAAAGAGACACATGATCAAGAGACCCTATATGAATGATAGTGACTAATATATAATAGAGATACACATGTATGTTTGAGAGATTCTTATACGTCTTCATTGCATCTAGAAGTGCTGTTTGATAACGAACGCTCATGCTGTGACGTGACACCGCACTCCCATCGTCTCTGTCACGCCACCTAGCCACTGTCTTACATCCCTCGCTGTTACTCTGTGTCAACGTATTAGCCAGCGAGCCGTGCAGCCGTAATTTGCACGGTCAGTTTTGAAACTGCACGGCCAAAAAAATTAAACATTTAACAAATTAAAACATTTTCCGGGGGAGGCACCCCCTGATGATGACGGTCTTGGCTGAGACACACATATAAAAAAATTGCACTCCCAAATATTTTTTCTGCACTCCCACAATACTCATTCCTGGCTAATACCCTGCTCTGTGTTGCAGCTGGAGAAGGTGTTTGAGAATGGATGTCGTGAGATCCAGTTTCCGAACGGCACGAGGAAAGAGGTGAGCGGCGATGGACGCACCGTTCTCGTCTCCTTCTTCAACGGCGACACCAAGCGCATCCTGGCCAACGAGCGAGTGGTAGGTGTCCGCTAGCGCCCTCTGTGTTACTCACGCACCCGCCGCTCTATGACGAGCATGTGATACGTCTAACAGCGCCCTCTATACCGCGCACATGCGTGAATGCAATGAGCATGAGATACGTCTAACAGCGCCCTCTATACCGTGCACCTGCGTGAATGCAATGAGCATGCGATATGTCTAACAGTGCCCTCTATACCACGAACCTGCGTGAATGCTATGAGCATGCGATACGTCTAACAGCGCCCTCTATACCTTACACTCACTTCGCTGCAGCAAATGCATGGGAATTACATCTGCACACTCTATACAGCACATCTACTTTGATCCCTGCGTACATCTCATCACTAGAAGGCTTAGATCACTAGAAAGCGCGCACATCTCCACATCATGCTGTCGTCTGCTATTCCGCAGGTGTATTACTATGCCGATGCTCAAACGATCCACACGACGTTCGCTGATGGCCTGCAGACGATGGAATTCCCAAAGTAAGCAAAGAAAAAATTTGCATGCACAGCTCATTAACTCTTGGGATTCATAGTTTGCTTACAAATGAGTAGCCTTGTGAGTATGTTCTTGTGTTTGCCGTCTGCACCGACCCCGACCTTATGCTCTGTGATGTGGGTGTTCTGTGGTGTTCACTTTCAACGAAACGAATTCGGTCATTAGTAAGTCAACAGTAAGGGCGTGTTTGTTTGGTCGGATCCACGGGTCTCGATCCACTGGATTGAACCCTAACCCAAACAAACGCAAACTCACTTTCATCGGTTCACGTTTCGCTGTGACCTATCACGGGATGGTTCATAACAAAGAACAAGCTGTTATAGGCTGAGGCGCGGGCCGCCATATTGGATCCCGATCGAATCCACCTCGCTAGCAGGTTCGGGTTCGGTGGATCGAGATCCGTGGATCTGACCAAACAAACAGTCAGATTCACGGATCCAGTGGATCGAGATCCGTGGATCCGACCAAACAAACACGCCCTAAGTGAACAAGATGATCATTACTTAGATGTAGGAGTGATGTGGTTGCTCATTACCGAACGTACAGGAACGTGGGAGTGTGTGCGAGACTTATATTTACTCTGATTGTGCCTCGCCCTAGCGGCCAGACTGAGAGACATTATCCAGACGGAATCAAAGAGATTACCTACCCTGATCACACGCTGAAGGTAGTGCACCCTGGTGGCGGCGAGGAGAGTTATTTTCCAGATGGTACCTCTATCAAGGTAGGTTTATATATCTCTTCATTCTCTCTCTCTCTCTCTCTCTCTCTCTCTCTCTCTCTCTCTCTCTCTCTCTC